GGCGTTTTTTTACTGTCTGCCCTTCTAGCGCAGCTCCATTACTGACAACGCCATATGTTCTGCATCATAGCTCTGTACAAAGAGGGAGTTCAAAGGTATTTACCTATATTTCCCTAATAAAACCTGACCTGACCTAAAACAAAGGCTGGACACGGCGCCTTTGTTAATTTCTCATCTCGAGGTCAGTCCTTTATGTCTCATTCTGGTTAAACAAACTCAGGGTTAACGCCGCTTGATACAGTTGTGCCACCATATGGTGTGATATACAAATATCAGATAGCCCTGGTTTGTATTGTCAGTGTAATTCAAAATTTCACGAAAGGTAGTCGCCTGAAGACCACCTAGAGTAGAATATGGAGGTCGAACTAGTCACTATCGGTTCCCTCATCGTTCATGTGAACGTTACGGTATCCGTGCCGTAATGTTCTGGTACTGTGCAAGGTTGAACAGTACCAGATCTGGTAACTGCTCTGTAGGCCTGTGAGAGCTAAAATAACCGAACGGTTTTTACTTTTGGATCACAACTAGACTACTTGTCTTTGATTTTCATGGCAGCATTGTTAGAACGATGTTGCTACAGGTGTTAGTATAGGATTAAAATTCCTTAATAGGAATGAACTTTTAATCGCTTCAAGCTGCCATTAGTCATGCGGACCTTTCTTTTAGTTCAGAACACAGAATTCACGAAAAAGCACATGAATAACTGTTGTAAGCGGAATTAACGAATTTATTTCGTGAATGAATATAACCATAAATACTTGCATTTAAGTCGTATTTCTAGCTATAGCTAACTCAAAGTTTCTTCTCTTGATGTGGAAGTTCAATCGCTTCATCATTTTTTGTAATATGCTCTTAAAACAAAATTTGCCTTTTAGTATTTTAGTATTTCCTGTTTTCCGTCTCTAGAGTCCGATTTACATACTTTCCGCTTTCGTTTAATTTATTCACGCATGTGTACTTTTCGTCCAGCGTCACCATTTTTTATTATAATCCGCCACTCCATACTTTTATTCTGCCGCCTTTCTATTGAGTTTGACACGGAGTTTGCTTATTTCCTCGCACCTAGGATGTCTTGACGCGCAAACCTGCCCAACATTATTTACAAATCAGAAGACAGGGATAAAAAGTAAGCCTTATGCCTTCAGTGTAATCCCCTGTATTAAAAAAGGTCGGAGACCAATGTTTCGTGAAACACTTTGTTGTTCCTCCTTAATCCGACTAGCATCCCAGGGTCGAATTTATTCCTCAGATGCTTTGTATATAAGATTCAGCAGATAATTAAGTAATTAGTATAAATACTATGTTGTCCAGGCGTGCGTCATAATTTGCAACAGTGTCTTGGCCAAGGACGTGGACGTCGTAAGCGACTGAAAAACAGAAGTCGGCATTAATGTCTGGCCTCGGGTAGCTGGCTGTCCCTTTCTCTGCAAGTACGCCTTGTTTTGCATGTATACACGCTGTTATTTGGAAGAGTAACCTAACGTCAAGATATGCATTTCACTGGCACGAGTGCTGATGCCGGTTCCTGGACTGATTGCTCAGACATCTGCTTAATCACCGTAGAGCCCGCTATACAATAGGTAGACAACCTGGTTTTAATTGTTTTCACACCTTATGATACAAACAGCGACATTGCTCTTAAACCGAGCGTTACAAAGGTCGGTTAAGTATTCTTATGTTTAAAAAAGGTCTAAAAGATGAGGGTTGGTTATTTAAAATAAGCTGCTTTTTACGTAAGGAAACATGCAAATCGTGAATGTTGTTTGCCTAAGCCGAGCGTCTATTGCTCGAATTTTATAACTGGTGCCTTATTTAAGTGGACCTTTTGAACCATTGATGAATACTTATGGGTATACACCATTGGACTTGTGGTAATTCTGCCGAAATCCGTGTTTCAGAGCTGTCACATTTTCGACATGTAAATAATTACCCATCGTCATTATTCAGCTGATTCGTCGATCCTGGGTACGCCTACTGCCAATGACCCCTGGGAATACCATTTCAATGGAGTTGTACCATTTCAATGGAGTTTTAAGGGCTTCGGTCATTCACTCCAAATATACTGACTGATACTGACTGAACGTTCTTCCTTTTCCAAAATGGATTCTAAGTTTCGTTGGATCACAGGCTACAAGCACCTGCGAAGGCCTTCTTGCTTTGCAGTCAACTTTGTTGTCCTCTTCATCATATATGCGTGCAAGTCAACGGAATCAATCGTAGACTTAAAGTATATGTTTCTAGGCAACCCCAGTTTCTAAGCTGCGAATTGCACTGCATTTGCATACTATTCATAATTCCATATCATCATCTTGTGGCGGCAATTAAGGAAACACGTCTTCTCTTGAGCTCCCCTGTTCTTTTCTAATGCAGTTAGTTAATTTGTATGAGGAAGTCGCTGTTACCAAATCTTACTTTGTCATTCCAAATTAAAAAGACCATTGAAAAATCGAGAACCGGAAATGAGTTTAACTAATCATGCACATAGCTAATGCACTCCACTTGCGCAGTGAGGGAAGGGACAACACAGTCGTTTGTCGGTCAGTGGCACGACAAAGAATTACTTGGCAATCACAGTGGTGACAGACTGTCGTTCCTTATTAGGACGCTTGGCACGTCAAAAGGCTTTGGTGGTCTCTTAATTATTGCATAGTTTCCGAAATCTTGGCGTGATCGAATAAATATTATGTTAGCCAGATTCAAAGCAGCAAAGTGACTCCGTCAAAGTCTTTTGCTGTCATCTATTCACAAAAACAGAAAGGATTTAAGTGTAATGGCTATATTTAAGCTATCTCTGTCCCTTGTATCGTGGTGTTCGGACGATGAGCGATTGGCGGCGCCTTCGTCTGCATTGGGTACATGTTCACAAATATTTCAAATTGCGTGGAATCATCGAACATCACTACTGTTACTAACTGCCTACTCTTGTCTGTTCTGTTCGTTTTATCTCTGAATTTAACTCTGTCGATTGGCATTCCTTACAACTAGTAATGCCATCGCAAACATCTAGAATTTCTGATACTCTTGTAGGGCAAACTACTCACTTTAGCCACAAATTATATTAGCTATGAGCGTACTTACAAATTATTTCCCGCACGGCCGCATGCTTCAAATCGACCGTGCGCCTTTCTGTTCACCGATAAATTTTAATCTTAAGAACGTACTTCTTGACGGATTTCTTATTACCTTGATCGCCAACATTTTCATAAATTTAACCACGCTTTATGCCGGGGTTAACAAGAAGTCATTTGCGTTCTTTTTGCTATTTGAACGCAAATGAGTTACTTTCTAGAACGCTTGTAGATTAAGCAGCTTAACTTGTCCAACATGCCTCTATAAAGAGGCCTGTAGTTCACAGAATATTTTGAAAAAACTGTGTAGTTTGTGAAATTGAGTCTTGGCCATGCAACTAATGATCATATCCTGCCAATAGTCCTGAAACCTGTATTTATTTATTTATGTATTTATTATGCCTCCTTTTTGAACTGTGATCGGATCTATATGGTCATCGACAGTGAATAAAAAATTTGCATTCTGCCCAGGTCGTTTTCAGGTATAATTTACAAATATATATAGAAAGATGCCCTTTCAAAGGTCGGTATGCTACGGCGCAAGCATATGACTATAATCGTGTTTCTTGTAAAATCGACTAGGTAATCTATACGATTGAAGTATGTATCGGACAATCTATTGGAGCGCTTTGTGAGTTCTGGCGTATACTGTAGGACTTAGATTATGGTTTTAGGGGATAACTATGGATGACCGTGCGGTCCTCCGCCCTATGATTTTTACTATTTGCACCGAAGTAGCCTCAGCTTTCGCATTTCTCGGGAAACACATATCCATGAAGCAGTACTTACCGAACACACGTACCTCGGCCTTGCCTCATCTATCGTATGTCGCATTGGAAGCTGGCTATTGCGGCTATGTTGGCTCTTATAATTTTCACATAAACCTCCAGTAGGTAATAAAACGGTGCGGGGTCCATACATTAGTTTTTTAAAACGAATTGTCTGTAGAATTAGATATCTAATTAGGCTTCATCAACCGCGACTAATTGCCCTGTAAAGTCTCGGATTCTCCTGTAGATGCCTATTCTGATCCACAGAATAGGTTTATTCCATTGGAATGTTTTCAATTTAAAAAAAGATATATTAGATAGCTTTCAGTGGCTAAATATGTGACCATCAAAACTGGCACCATGTTTCTTCTGAGTTGGCAGTATTTGCAACAAAGGGCCTGTTTGTAAAGCTGGAAAAATCGTTTTACCAGATGATTTACTTTCGCGTTTGGTTCAGCATATTTCAGTACATTTTGGGTAAGAGGCAATACATTTGGATACCTTATTGAAAACGGTGTGCAAATATAGCCAACTTAAAATAGATAAAAGAACTATGTTACCATAAAATAGTGAGTAACATATGCACATGTGCACATTTTAAAAAGTGAAATTTACGCATAGTTATCCTGAGGATGGTAGATAAAATTGTAAAATAGCGGATATTAACTTCATCAGGGTGATGTGACGTTTATAGAATAGGTTGCTACATTGTCGCATCTGCAAGAAAATTCGGTTTGACGTCAAATATTTCTGGTAGTCTTTCTCGTTTACAAGGTCAGTCAGGCAGCACAAGGTCGACCCGATTTCACGGAGTGCTCGAATGAAGATGATTCCATGCTTCTGTTGTCTTTATTTTTGTTTAGGATGATGGGTTTAGGTAGGGATCCGGAATGACTGGTGAGTGATCCAGTTACTCTTGTCATCGATTTTATTTTTTGTCTAGAACGCCTTTCGTAGGTGTGGTAACGGACATGTAAGCTGTTTCGAAACAAGTACTGGCTTATTTTAAAGGAACCGGCCGGGACCGCATGTAATTTTTTTTATCGGAACTAGTATTCTTGGATATTAAGCCGGTAATCTTATTAGAAGAACAGAAAAACTAACCCTTCGTTTTCAAACAATTGTAGGTACATGTTTTCTGTCTTTTTTGTTACAGGTCACGATGTTGAATTTGCGTTCATGTGCTCCGCTTCTTCGGGCCACTAACCATCGACTCCCAGATTTCACATCGTCTGGCGATGGAGATTTCTTCTTCGTTCAACTAGCCGATCCTCAACTAGGTCTCTTAGAACGATACATTGAGAAACGTGATCCTCCTTTTCATTGGGACCGTGAATTAGTTTTGGCGAAACGCGCTGTTCTAGCTATTAACAACCTTGTTCCGAAACCGAAGTTCGTTATGGTATGTGGTGACCTCATTGACGCTCAACCCGGCAATCCAGATCGTCCTACTCAAGCTGCCGATCTAATGAAAATATTCGAGGGTTTGCATCCAGATATACGCATTATGGTTCTTCCTGGAAATCACGATGTTGGTGACAGACCATCTGCTAGCGACCTGGAAGATTATCGCTCATTATGGGGCGATGATTACTTCTCTTTTTCATACGAAAAATGCAAATTTATCGTCGTTAACTCGCAGTTATATTGGGATTCATCTAACTGCCCCTCCGAGGCCGCCCTACAGGACGCTTGGCTTCGTAATGAATTGTCCGCCTCTGAAAACAAGCTGGCAGATCATACCATCGTCTTTCAGGTATGCTTAATTCGTACAAATTACTGGTAAATGACTGTTTTTGTCGTCCTCAACCCCACGCCTTCGTGTTGCGTTTCTGTTATGATTTCAACGCTTCGCTAGAGCATTTTTTTTGGTTATTAGGACTCACTAAGTGTTAGTGAACAGTATATCGGGAAGCAAGATGCGACCCTCCATATTGTTAGCTTACTTTTGGCGCGCGTTTTTACAGGCATTGTCTTCGACGGTATCCGTTTATGGTCAGTGTACAGACAAGTCGGGTGAAGATAGCTGTTTTCCCCTCACTGTCGTTTTCAGTAGTCTCAGGTCTTTATTATCGCAGAAACGAGGTCAGGGACTGTTTGCAGAGTTTGCTCCTTGGACCTATATCTCCCTGTTTATATCTATATAACCAGCCCCCCTTTTCTGAACTGGGTGGGGCCTACTGAAGTGTGACGCGATAGGCTTTATCCGCAGTTTCAGTCACAACTATGTGGATCGGGTTTGCATCCAAAAATTACTGCCATTGTGTTAGATCCTGTTTCTTGAAAGCAGGCCCTGGGGC